CTGCTCTTTTTAAGATTTCAAAAAACCCCACTGTAACCATGCAACTAGACAACCATCAAGAGTACAGTTTAAATACTGACAACAACCACTTGTAGGGCTGAGCAATAAATCCTTCCCCTGTCCCACGTACATTCTTCAGCTCAGCTCACAATGCAAGTGTTCACACGTGCACAGGACAATGGTCACACAGGCAAGAGAGCCAGGCAAGAGTGTCAGCCTGTCAGCTGACAAATTACAGCTACAGACAATACCTATCTTCTGCAGATGCAGTTATAAATAAAATGTGCAGTTAGAGAGAATTTATCATCCCCTACTATTAAATTAGGGGTTGTGCTCTCCTTTCCTGGCCAAGAGGGAGAATTTAAGTCAATATCATTGCCTAGGTCATGCAGGAATTACAGGAGCAAAAGCAAGTGCTACAGAGAGCTTTGCCAATTAAAGGCATGAATAAATTACATGCTTCTTACATTTCAGTCAAGGCAGCACCGTTATGAACAATTAATACTCTAGCCTCATTCCCAACTTGACCTTAAAATTACAGGCAGACAGATTTTACTCTCAGCCTGCTCAAGTAAAATTTTATTTCCATTGAGGAGACATCCACAAAGTTATCAGCAAGAGCGTAAACAACCGAACTCTTCCACAAGCTGACTTAGCATGCATTCAAATAACATGCATTCACCTAAGTCACCTCCCTTTATTACTATGAAAGTTTAGAAGTCACAAAAATTAAAACAGAGAATTATGATATGACTGATCTTTGCTTAAGCCTTCTTGCTTGACCTTTTTTTTTCAAAACTGGTTCTGCAAAAGGATTCATAACACATTATAGAAAATTAAACGAACCCAGGTCAAAAGCATTAGTTACAGAGATGCTCCATTACTAAGTGCTGTACAGATACTTACAAAAGGTTATTTCAAGTCACTATCATTGCTTTAACATTTTGTTTAATTCCCTTCTGCATACAACACAACAAAATTCTGTAGCCTAGTGACATTTATTTTACTTAACTTGGACTCATCAACTTTCAGATATCTCTCCTGGTTTATTTTTAAGTATTTAGGCTAAAAACAACAGCCTGGGACTACAGAAACATCTCTGGTACCCAGATTTTAAATCGGTAAAGGAGATAAAATGGTTTCCCGAAACTGTATGTGTTTAGATTAACTAAACCCTGGAATGGCTACAGATTACCAACTGGTGCAAAAATCCACTTTGCTGGCAATAAGCCGTATCTGAACACAGACCTGCCAGGAAGAACACCCCAGTGCCTCCCAACCGTACGCATTACATAGGTACGACATGAGGCAACTTTGGGGTTAGTGAAAATATCCACCGTAATTTCTGTTCTTTTAAAATTGTTTAAAGGGACAGAGCGTAGCGAGATAAAGAAATGCTCTAGATTTAATGGGACAGGAAAGGAACGGAAGCCTCCCCTTGCCGCACTGAACATCTGGCAGGGCAAGTACCTGCTCAGCGCGGGTTCGCCACTCGCGGGTCAGGGTGACGAACAGCCGCCCCGCCGAGCGCCCCCGGAGTCCAGAGCCGCCGGGCCCTGCACGTCCCGCTCCCCGCCGCACCCGGCCCGCCGGGCGCCGCTCCGGACCCGTCAAATCCCCGCCTCGGGCTCCGGCACAGCCCCCGCCATGCGGCCCGTGCCACGGCTCGGGCCCCGGCGCCGCCGCAAGGTCACTCGGCCGCTCCCGCCGGACGGGCCCGCGGCGCCTGCGTTCGGCCCGCACCGACTCACCTGCCCGCGCAGCTCCGCGGGCCGGCGTGCGCGGGCGGCGACAGGGAGTCAGGGACGGGGGAGCGGCCGGGGCCGGCCCGAGCCGCGGGCCTCAGCGCGCCGGGCTGCGGCGAGGCGGGAGCGGCCCCGCTCGGTGCCCCGGGGCCGCAGGCGGGAGGCGCCGCCCGGCCCGGCCCTTTGTGCGCGGGAACGCGCCCGCCCGGCCTCCCTCCCCGCGTCTCCCCGCCGCGCCGCGGGCCCGCAGCGCCGGATCAGGCAGGCGGCCCGGCCTGTCCGGGCGCCGCCGCGCTCTTACCGAGGGATCTGTACGGGAAAAAGGGTTAGAACGGAGCCACCCCCACCGGGCCCGCGGCGCGCCGAGCCCCGCGCACCGACCGCAGCCGCACAAAATGGCCGCCGCGATGCGGCGCCGCTGGGGGGGGGGGGGGGGGGGGGCGGAAGGCCCGCCCACTCCGGCCGGAGGGCGCGCGCAGAGGGCGGGGCCGGGCATGGAGCCGAGCGGGGCCGGCCGTGCTGCCGGGGTGGGGGCGGTGCGGCGGGGGCTCGGCCCTCAGCGGGGCGCAGCCGCGGTGCCCTGCCGGCAGCGTGAGCGCTGCGGTCGCACGGCCGTGAAATAGCGGGCAGAGTTGGCGGCCTGCTCCCTTGAGCCTTCCTTGGGGCGGATGTCGGGATGTGGGCGCTTCTGCGCACACCCGCCCGTGGCTGTCGCAGCCACCGCCGGCTCGGCTCGGTGCCCGCACTGCTGCCCCATGGGCCGGGACGCGGGTGGGCCTGAATAGTGCCCATCCGAGGGCATCGTCACTGTTCCTCAGCCGTGCTCACCCTCTGGTTCAGTCAGAAGACTGTGGGTTCAGCTGTAGATAACAGAGTTGTTCAGGGGCAAATTAATTTCATTTTTTCATTTTCTTTTTTTGGTAGTTGTATGCTGGGTAAAAGCACAAACCAGATTGACATAGAAGAGCAAAAATCTGTGTATGCTGGAATTAGGTGGATAAATTCTCCCTGGTTCAGGTCAGTTTCCTAGGATAACCCTTGAAATTCTGCTCAGAGGCCACAGACCAGCAGAGGGCTGCTGCCTGTCAGGTTTTGTGACTAAATGAGTAACTGCTGTGGCCGAGGTGTCCACACAGCACCGGGCGCTTTTGGGCTTCAGAGGAAGACACAACATGGCCCCAGGGCTTTTCCCTTCTGCCTTCTTCCTCCTCCAGCTGCAGGAACTGCTGTTGCTACACAAATCTGGCTGCTTCTTTGACATCAGCCTCAGCCCAGTTCCAGGAGCATCGCAGGACCCAGGGAGCACAAAGGATGATTTGAAGCAGAGTGTCCCCATCACTGTACAGCAGCAGGTGCTAGTGCTTTTCTGACAGAGCCTGTGAACTGTGTGTGCTGGGAATCTGTGGAAGCAGAATGGCTTGCTAAAAGTATTGCAGCAGGGAGGAAAAAAAGGTTGAAAATACGGTTTTCAGATTTGTATTTTAACCTGAATATTTCAGAAATGGTCTTAACACTGCAGGTGTCTAGAAGAGAAAAAAAATTGCAGAAAGAATTAAAACAGAAAAGAACTGGAAAATAACCCTTAAGTTTTGAGATAAATAGAAAATTATTTTATTTTACCAAAAGATCAGCACAGTGTTTATGTAATGGGGTTTTTGACAGCACTGTATTTCATTCTGGAGTTTCATCACTTAAAAAAACCTACAGACTCATAGCACACCTGCCCTGAGAACCACTTCCTTCTCCAAAATAGGTCTTCCTAGATCCCACTGGACTCCTTTGCTTTGCTGTTCCCACGGAGAGCACATGGCTCTTGGTAGTTCAGGGATGTGTCTGTGCCAATTTGTGACATTTCTCCTTTTTCGCTGTCTATGCATCCAGCTTCTCTGATGTTAGTGTCCATGGTTAAAATGATCATGAGTGCTCCGACATTTGCCAAACTTGCCTGGTGTGGCTGGCCATGGAGCAGCAGCCCTTCCCAGGGAACAGGAACTCCTCCACAGACCTGGCTGGTCCCTGCCTGCTCTGGTGCAGACAGATCATGATTGGATCAGTTGGATAAATTTGGGTCCAGAGCTTCCCCTCACATAGAGGAAAGCAGTAAATGTGGACAAACTAAGCTTTTTGGCCCAGGAAGGAGCCCAAACTGGTGAGAACAGAGGCAGGCAGCACTACTTTCCTCTGTCCCCTTTGTCCATCAGGCCCGGCCAAGATTTTAGGCAGAGACCTCCTTACTCCCACCCTTGCTGAGCTGCTGCAGTTTTGCACTGTGAACTTGAGAGGATTTCTCTGCAGGGATGTCACCAGCTGAATGTGGTATGGGGCTCACGGCCCCGGGGGCTGAGCAGGACCCGGGGCACAGGGAAGCTGGGGCACAGCCGATGCTGCTCCTCCTCTGGCCAAGATGGAGAAGAGCTGCAGCTGGAGCGTGTGCCAGAAACGGCTTTGGGAGCCCAGGAACACCATCCCTGGGCTGCGCCCCTCGCTGTTTCCCGAGAGCCCCGTGGGGATCAATCACTGCATCTCCAACAGATTGCTCTGCCTGTCTTTGCCTTTGTGCAAAGAGCGAGGCTGGCAGGGCTCTGCAGTGTAAAAGCTGCCCCAAGGAACCAGACAGGCTGGAGGAACGGGCACCAGAGATCTCACCAAATCCAGCCAAGAAGCTGTAGGAAGTGAGAGCAAATGGGGATGGCAGAAGCCAGGGCAGGGGAGACTGAGAAGGTGGCAGAAAGGTGTCTGGGCTGAAGGGGAGCCTGCTGAAAGAGGAGGAGAGGGATTTCTCTCAGCCTCTATTTCTCTACTGTTTCTTGAAATGTGAACCAGGAATTAGATGTTGCCAGGGATGGGCCAAATATCCAGTTTACTGCAATTTCCGCAGTTGTGGCTGCTTGGCCATGATAGGGAAGAAGCCCTAAAAAGGGAAAGAGGGGAAAAGCAGAACCCAAACTGCACCCCTTTGGTGTGGCAATTTCTCCCATCCCTTCCTGTTGGTGAGGAAGCTTTGCCACACAGAATGACAGGACAGGGGAGGGGAAGGGGCCTGTGGACAGGAGCTCTCAGAGCTGGGTCACAGGGAGGGGGTGGCCCACAGGGCTGCCCAAAGGAGCCTCCGGGCGCACCAACCTCCCCCCAGGCGTGATGGGCAGATTCTGTGTGACACGGTGTCAGCACATGATGTGACAATGCGGGGATGTCACTGTTACATCACCATGATGTAACAATGCCCTTAATGCCCTTGGCTATATTTAGCAAGGAGGCAGCTGCTGTGTCTCTGGAGCAAGAGTAAGAGTGGGATCACAACACCATGAGAGGTCTTGGCAAGAGCTGTGGAGTCCCGTCCCACTGCTGGTGTCCTGCCAAAAGGCAGAGGCACTGCTGAGTGCCCTGGGAATCAGGGGGGAGGGGACCACTGGGCCAATATAGAGGGCTCTGCTGGGGAGCCTGGGACATGGGGTGATGCTCTAGGGCTCCAGGACTGCCATGCAGGAGGCTTGTTGGGCAACACCTGAGTGTCTGTGTCTTCCCATCTCAGCCCCAGAAGACCACACCTGGGAGAAGGAGGTACCAGGAAAATGGACCCTGAACTGCTGAACCTCCCACTCGCAGTCAAGATCCCTGTGGCACCTGGATCCAAGCCTGTCTTCTGCAGGGGAAAGCTGGGTGAAAAGGTAAAGGAAATAGAAAGGGATAGAAAATCTCTTTCATAGAGTCCCTATCATGCAAAGATTTTCTTGAGGCCACCTGCTCTACATCAGGAGCTGCAGCCCTTCAACTGGACAGGACTGGGCAAGGGAAACTCCAGGCTCCCTGGAATACAGAGGAGAAAGCACTTGTCCATCTTTGCACTGGTTTCTGGCACTGTGCATGTGTGTGGCCGGGCCCCTGCCTTCAGCAGACAGCTGTGTGTGTCTGGGTGCCAAGGCAGCTCATTCCTCCAGCTCATCCCACAATGTCAGGCCCCCTGGGGCACTTGTAAGGGAGATTCCAACCTTCTGCTTGCCTTCTTGGCACCTTTGGAATAAATTGGGCTTCCCTGCCTGCGGTATACACACACTGTTGTCCTCCAGTTTGCGCTGCAGCTTCCCAAGATAGAGATTTTCTGGAGGTAGCCAACACAGCCCTTGGGCCTGCCTAACCCAAGGAGACTGGTTTCATCCACTCTCCACTGGCTGCATTTGAACCTTTGAAGGTTAATTTGCGGATGGGTCTGCAGTTCTTCCTGGTGACCTAAGATACCTATTTGCAGGTGGGATTGCTGTGCAGTTTGTCTTTTCTCCCTTAACCCATCACAGCCCAGCCCTGTAGTCTGTCTGTGCAGGTCTCTGTGCCTACAGAAGGGTGGAGAAGACCGTTACCTTTTCACAGGTACCATGTGGTACCTCTTCGCTCCACTCTCCTGCTTCCTCATCCTCTGGAAACTCTCTCTTACAGCTCCACCGGCCGCTTCCTTGTTTCACTCTGGATGATCCCTACTGTCACCACCTCAGCCCAGCATACAACTGCCTGCATGACCCTGTCCTTCAGGACTACCACAAGCGCAAGGATGTGCTGCATTTGCTGAAGAAACGGGGCTTTGTCACCAGAGAAAACAAGGTAGGTTTGGACATCAGGCTGATCAAGAACAGCCCTCTTCAAGCAGGGCTCCCACAGCCCTTGCTGCAGCTGCTGCTGCTGCCAGAGGACAGGGCTGTGCATTGCTGTCCCTGGGAGCAGAAGCAGCGCCAACGTCCTCCTGGCAAGCCCCAGTCCTGCCCTTCTCAGCCTGCCCCACGCTGCCTGTTCAGCCCTGGCTGGGGGGACAGCAGTGGCCCCAACACCAGGGTATGAGGGGAGGGCTTGGGGGCAGCTCCTCTCCCACTGGGCTCGGGCGGTTTTGGGGAAGGCCGACTGCATGGCTTGACAGTTTTTGGGGGATTCTGCCCTCGTCCCTCCATAGGTGATTTGCACTGTGAAGGAGTTCAACGAGTACAGGCAGTACCTGACCAGGATCAAGCTACGGTCAGAGCAGATCTTGGGGCAGCAAGAAGTAAGCAAAGCATTGTGTTCAGGGGCATGGGACTGTGCAGGGCGGTGCTGCTGGGCCGGGCGCTGTGGTGGGGAAAGGACTCCAGGGCTGGGAGCTGAGCCAGCACAGGGCACTGAGCTGGGCACGGGCAGCAGGGCCATGTGCAGGCACACACCGTACTGAGGGAAGCCCTTCTTCCCTGCCCTTGTGCCTGGCTGAAGCAGAGTGCTGGCCTGGGCCTGCGGGAATCCTCAGCATGCAGAGGCTGAGCAACATGACCCACAACCTGGTGTTATTTTTCAGGAAGATGTCACTTTTTTTTTTCACTTTTCACTTTTTTTCCCCTTCTGTCAATCCTGGGCCCAATTTAAGCATGGCCCCAGCCTGCCAAGAATCACCAACACTTCCTGTCAGGGGAAGCTGCAGCCTCAAAAGCCTTCCAGCGTACCCAAGAGCCAAAAACTGGGGGCATGCAGAAAAGCGAGAGCAGCTCTGAACAAGGGCCAAATTTACTCCAGAGCTAAGCTGGGGCAGAAGGATGCCAGCACTGCTGCTGACTCCCAGAGGAAGCCAGATGGCACTGACAATGGCCTCTTGAATGCTATGTTTGAGCAACTAACTGCAGCACAAGCCAAGAAGCTTGAAGAGCTGGTTGAGACTGTGGTGTACAGAGTGTTTGAGAGGTTGAAGATTCCTAGGAATCAGCATGGCAGCTTTTTACAGAGGGTTGCCCAGGGAATCAGAGAAAGACTTTTAGGCCGCATGAGAGTAGAACTTTTGGATACTTCTCTAGATCACCATCAGAAAATGGAAGTGATGGCGAAAGAGCTTGTAGCAACAGTGTTGGAGATCTTGGGGGACCGTCTGGCATCCAGCACATCCAAGGCTGCTGAGGCGGGGGGGGCAGCCAAGTGGGAGGACCTGCCTCTTGCTGCAAGAGCCACCCAAGCAGACAAATCCAAAGACACTGCAGACAGAGTACTTTCAAAGACCTCCCTTGACACACTCACCAGAGAAATTGTTGAGAGTGTTCACTACACCTTGGAATCCTCTATAACTTCTCAGTTTGAACAAGACACTGGCGGTGAGTACGCTGAAATCCTGGAGCTTCCTGGGGGAAATGTCTCCAACAGACAAGTGCAGTCATCCCAAACATGTCCAAGGCAGGGCATGGAAGCTGGACAAGGATTCCCCAGAGCATCTGAACAGCAGAGCCTGAAAGCAATGGTGAAGGAGAACTTGGAAAGAAAAAGGAGCCTAAAGTCAACAGCCTTAGCCAACACTTTGGAAATAAGGACCATGTCAAATCGGATTGCTGACTCAGTATTAGAGCGGATCAGTCAACCAGGGCCTGCAGCAGTCCTCAACAAGAACTTTCAAGGGCCTGTTGCAAACCCACCCACATCCCAAGGTGGAATGGAGAGCTGTGCCACTGAGGACATTCTCCCTACTGTGGACCCATCGCCTTCCCAACAGCCCATCCCTCCAGCCCAGGCCAGAGGACAGCACCAAGCAAAGCGCCCAAAGTTCATCTGATGCAAGTGAGGTGTGTGACTGGAGAGCTGAAGAGCCCTCAGACAGCAAACACAGACCATATCCTTGTAGTGGCAATAAAGAGTTTATTTCCAAGGCCTTGTTTGTGCTTTCTTTAGCTAGACCATACTGTCTCTGGGCATTTTCCTTAGTGTAACCTGTCCTATCTTTCATTCTTCAGCCTCTATCATGCTGAGACCAAATTTTATAGGGAATTTGAGGTAGGGAGGCCAGAAGTAGCCAGCTTTTTTGTCTTGTTTAGCAAGCTTCGCTGTTGAGCAAGTGGAAGGATCAGTTTGGATCTTCTCTGCTTTCTCTGCAAAGGAGTTCAGGTGTCACCTGTAAATCCTTTATTTATGCTCAGCATGAGCAGAGTTGTGCACTCCACACGACTCACTGTCAGAGAGCAGCAGGAGCTGTCTTAGGACAGCTGAGCAGGAACTGAGCTGGGAGGGCACTGCCCTATCCAGCACAGGACAGGCCAGTGGTACATGGGAGCAAAGCAGGGACAGTGACCAGATGAACACTGGAAAATCCTACAGCAATGAGGCAGCTCAGGGGAGGAGATCCTGGCTTAGACCAGGATCTCTATCATCACAGAAATGGCTGACCTGGCTCAGGCAAGGGCCTGAGGTCCAAGGGCAAAGGTCTGCGTTTAGGCAACATTCCTGAGAAACAGGGAGGAAATTCCCAGTGAGGTGTCCTTCAGCTACTTCCCCTCAAGGGCCTGGCTGTTGTGGTGCTATTGGGAAGCTGGCCCTGAGCTTAGCAGCTCTGCTTCCCTACATTCCAACCGAGACAATCACACTTGTGGCAGGGCAATGCACCCCAGGAGCAGCCCCAGAGAGCAGTCACGAAGGCCTCAGTGCCTGGCTGAAGCAATTCCTGCCTGAGACCCTCCACTCCTCCCTGCCTGGCCACTCTGGGGCCTGCATGGCAGGGGGAAGGAGGAGAGTCTGTGCCAACAGGGTCTTTTCCTGTCTCTAGACCTCTGCCAGAGCCCTCAGCTGCCTCAACACAGCCCCCATGAGGGCCCTGCAGTCTGCAGAGCTGCTGCAGCATCCCACTCTGGGGCAGGAGCATTGCAGATTCATCTGGACATGGTCTCCACCCTCCACACCAATGTGCAGCAGGCCAGGGATGAGCTTTGTGTCCTGCTCTTCCCACTGTGCCTCACCTTGCTTGCACTTGTTTATGTCAGAGTGCTGCTGGAGGTCCCACAGGTCTAGCTGACCTCCAGACTGCTCCCAAGGTGCACAAAAGGATGGGAGCTGAGTGACTCACCAGGTCAGTGTGCCATCATCATAGCAGAATTCCACTTCTGGGTACCTTCTACTTTGGGACAGTTTCTCACCCCTTCTTTGTTGACCAGAGCACCAGAGGCTGGGAACTGGCTACATATCTCCAGGGATGGGTGCCCACCCTCACCCTGTGCCCTTGGCCAGAGCAAGCACAGCCCCATCCAGGGAGTGGCTGGGAGGGACACACAGACAAGCAGACGTTTCTACATCACCACACCCAGACATCCCAATTTAGCTGGGAGAAGGGAGAAGGCTGAAGATTCCTCACCTCCTCATTCTTTACAGGGCTGTCCATTTGCAGAGGAGGCTCTACAGGCCTTTCTGTGGTCCCTGGGGTTATGGGGTCTGATGGACATGTCCCGAGAGCAAGGAGGTAACACCCACCAGCGGACACCCTAGCCCAGTATTTGGGGACTGTCTGCACTTGCAGTGCCCTCGTCTTCCCCAGCAGGCACCACGGCCAGGTTGTTTCAGGGAAGCCTGTTTCAAGGCAGCTGAGGCAATCCAGCAGCTCACTGAAAAGGAAGGGCCCCACTCCCTCCTCCATTCCCCACCCTCTACATCCCTCATGGACCACCTGTCTCCCACCTCACTTGTAATCTGAACAAAAGACCAGATGTGGCACAGACGAGATGGAAGAAATGTGTCTGTGAGCGGAGGTGAACTGATGTAACCCACTAGTTCTTCTCTGGGAGAAGCTGCAGCTTTTAAGAGCCTTCACCTTCCTAACACCTTCATGACTTCGGGCCTCGATCTCTGCCAGCATCCAGCCCTGACAGCAGAGGTCACACAGTCCTCCAGTCCTCAGACACAAGCTCCCTTTATGGTACCTGTAAACACTAAGCACTTCAGACAAAATGGATAGTTTACATGGTGAGAGAGAGGAAGGTCCAGGCAGAGGCTGGGGCAGGAGATGCAGGTTCAAATCCTTGTGGCCTGGACAGAGTCCTCAGCTGGTGTCCCCTGCTTTGCAAGGAATAGTCAAGCTGATGAGTGAACTCCATATGTCCCAAAAGATTTCCTGCATGGCTACCTGTAAGCACTCAACTCTGGTCAGGTTCCTATGTGGTCCACCTCACTCAGAACACCCATGCTCCTTCCTGTTCCCTCGTCATGGGATGATGAATGCCTGAGCTGGTTTCCCCAGCCCACTGCATCCACAACCAGTTCTTGCCACTGTTCACCATGGCTGACAAATGGTATAGGACAACAGGACCTCTAAAAGCAATAACCTCAGCAACTAATTCAACTTTTCCCATCTCTTTTTTTTTTTGGGTGTCCCGCAGACAGTCCATGGGTGTGCCAGAGCCAGAGCCCTGCTCCACACAGCCCCAGCTTGGCACTGTCTCAATGGGCCAGTTCTGCTCAATCTGCCAGTGCTGTGCTGTACCCACATCAAACCAGCACTGGGGCAGAATCAGGACAGGGAGCCTCCCATCTCTGCCTCCTGCCAGTGCTGCAGGGCTCCCAAAGCAGACCTGCCTGTTCCTCTGGTCTCTATCTTCCCACAGGGCTGATTTAGTGCAAAGCTCCATGTAAGGATTGGACTAAAAACCTACATGAGAATTATACTAAAAACTGGCCTCGTATTACCCAGGAGCTTTGAGGAGGTGGCAGAACTTCTGTGCATCTCTGGTGGACAAGGGCAGGGAGACCCTTCACATTTTCAATGGAAGGAAAGACAGCGGGGAACTTCTCTACTAGAGGGGTAGCCTTGTGGTTGCCCTGTCCTGTAAAACATCAGGCAGCTGCCAAAGCTAAGCCCTTTCTCCACCTCAAGCTGAACCTACAGGTAGGTTGTTCTAGTTTGAAAGCAAAACCAGTGAGAGACTCTACGTAATACAATTTATTAGGAAAAGGGAAAAAACCAAACCAAAACATGCAATAATAGAAAAGAAAAACCACTGACAGAGTCAGAATACAACCTGACACCCTGTTGGTCAGGGTGTTGGTAGCAGTCCAATTGGAATGGTGGCTGCAGTCTTCCTGGAGTGGCAGATGTGGTTCTGTTGGAGCAGTGATCCTGTAGAAGAGTGTAGTCTTCCTCTGAAGATCCAGCGGAAAAGGCAGCTGTTCCTCTGAGAATCCAGTGGAAAGGTTGATCTGGTGTCCCAAAAACTCAGATTATATCCAGTTAAGAATCCTTGGCTCCTCCGTCTGGGCGGGGCATCTCACAATGGGATGCTGTAATTTTTATCAGTCATGCAGTGACATTCAACAGCCCATTAACAGCTAATGTCTCCCCAGAGGGAGGATTGGTTTGTGGAAGAGATGAAGAGAACTGCCCAATTAACAGAAGATAACTATTGCCTTGCAATCTAGGACACAGGTCCAAAATCCACCTGTGATCCACAACATCTGCCCAGCCTTTTCAGGAGCTGAGTTGGCACATGGGCAACAGACATGAGGGCATGGTGTCTATCAGCAGCCATAAGCAGAATTGCTTTCACCATTTCTGTTTGCAGGCATAGCAAAAAGTTCTTGTAAGGGTCTGTGAAAAGCAGACTCAAACCAGCCAGAAATCCAACAGCACAAGCAAGAGCACCCAGCACTGCAGGAGTGCTGGCCCCGTTGGAACACATCAGTCTCTCACAACCAGCAGCAGGTAATGGACAAGCCACTGGTGCCTCCTCTCAAGGAGCTGCGTCCCAGCTGCCCTCTAGCACTGGCTCCAACTGCACTGCTCATAGAAGCCCAGAACAAACCACAAGCTTGTTCCAAGGCCATCACTTCTTTAACTGATCCAGGTGTCAGGTCATGGTGACTGCAGGAATAAGCCTGAGTCTTGGAGCCTGAGCTGAAGCACTTGGTTTGTGGCCTTTTCTGATTTGGCAAAAATCACCTCATTTCACAGAAAAGCTTTGGGGAACACTCAGAAATTGGGCTGCAGACATCCCCCTAGGAAAGGGCTGTGTGAGGTTACAATGTTCCTGGTCTTCCTTCTGTGCTCCATTGCCCCACAGCCCACCTACAACACTTCTGCCAGCCAGACTGGTGGGAAAACCCAGTGGTATGGCCAGCATATGTGATCCTTAACTGCTGGTGTGACAGAACAGTCCTCGTTGGCTTTGTCTGAAGTGCAGCAGCTTTTCCTAGTCTGACAAGACAGTGACCACCCCCCAGAGCACCAGCAACACAATCCAGAGCCTGGGCTCATTCCTGTGTGGCTGAAGTAGCACAGCTGGCATCTGCCCTGCAGCTCCACAACACCGTGCAACCAGCACGAGTCTCGAGCACCAAGAGACTGCTCCCAGTGGTTTTTTGGATGACCAGCAAGGAAAGATGAGAGAATGCTCTAGTCTGAACATAAAAATGTCCCCATCAGGTCAGCCTAACAGCCCAATTAATTACATCTGCATCAGCAGAGACCCCGCAGGAGGCCATGCAGAGGATGCCTGTGTGGCCACCTCCTGGAGTCCACCTGCAGCACTCCCAGCTGCTGGAGAAGGGACACAAGAAGAATATCCCTCTTACCCTCCAACTACCCATAAAATTCTCTCATACCTTTATGACCCTGAAAGGCTCCAGAAGATATGTGTAAAGCAGTATTGTCTCTTACCTGTTTCAAACCATTCTCTTCCAAGATTCATTAAGTGTCCTTTGGTAGCTGCCTGAGAATTAAGAACAACAGAAGCAGCCCAAAGCATGGTTTCCAAATGCTTACTTCATGCTGATTCTCAAATCTTACTCAAGAGCACTGACATTCAGGCTGAAATGTGCAGCCCCACACAGATGTAATCATG